CTGATTCCCTCCCCTGCCCCTCACACAAGAGGAATGTGAACTCTGCAGCCACTCTGTGTGGAGCCACTTTACAAGAGCAATGGAGGCTCAAGAGGATGGACTCACATGCCCTAGGGAAGAGCCCCAAGGACTTAAGTCAGTAGTTAGGATTCCAACCCAAGCTCATGGGAACACAGGACATTCTGCCACAGTGTCCTGAGGACCAGAGCCTCTCAGACACCAGCTCCCATGCCCTCCCTGGCCCATCACCTCTCACACCTTCCTTTCCCCACACAGGATTCTCCCTGTGGCCTCTCAGTCCCTGCCAAGAGCTGGCAGCAAGCTGAGAGGTCGACTTTGTGGGTGTTGGCCGCTGAGTGAGCTGCTAGGACTTGAAGAGGACGGGGCAGGAGGGGGAGCCAGTCCTGTCCTCACGACTCACCCCAAGGCCTCTGCCCATACCTGCAGCATTCAGCGCCAGCCTCAGCTCGTGGGAGTTCATGGTGCCAGAGGCGTCCTGGTCGAACTTGTCGAATATGGCCTGGGTGGGGAGGAACAGGTCAGTCCCCCGCCAGGCTCCTGAGCTGCCTGAAAGGGTGTCTCAGGGGCCCGACAGGCTGGGTGCCCACCCCAGCTCCCTTTCCTCCTGGCTTCGTGGCGTGGGGAAGCAGCTTTACACTTTGGGTCTGTGTTTCCCAGTTTGTAAAATGGGATCGGTAATAAGAGCTGTAATAAGGTGGTTGTGAGGACACGCTAGGATTACCCACAGGGGGCCTACTGAGGGCACAACAAATGGTGGCTTATCACCATGATTAGTACAGAGAAGCCTTAGACCATTTTCTTCTCACATGGGTTTTGGGGGTGGAGGGAGGATCACCACCTCCCATTGCTAGACAAGCAAAGTTGCTCCAAGGGGAGGTACTGGCCTGTGATCACACAGCCAGACAGGGGCTGAGCTGGGAGCTAAAATGCCAACCCAGACCAGAGCCAGTGTTCTTTCTTGATGCCCTAGAGCAGGGATGGAGAATGTCCAGCCTGCAGGCCGTAGAAGGCCCTTGAAATCATTTGTTCTGGCCCTGCCAAGGCATTAGGGGTGAGTTAAATGTTTGTCTAAATATAGCAGGCTAGTTTTTAAGACAATAATTTTATATGGCCCATGAATGATGTTATAAATGCCCAAATGGCCCTTGGTAGAAAATAAGTTTCCCACCCCCACTCTTTATGGACCACAGAGGGTGATGGAGGAGGGACATCCTAGACAGATCCCTCCAAGATGGCGTGGTGTGGCCCAGTCCCCGACTCCCCTGGGGCCCTGCTAGCCCACAGAGCATCTGCGTCCCTATTAGTAAAGTCTTCTTCCAGGAGGTGGTTCCACCCAAGTCACCTTACCTGCCACTCCCGGAGGTGGCCCCAGAGCTGCTGGAAGTGGTGCAGGGCCAGGCTTCTGCCATGCTGGAGAGGGACATCTGGTTAAGTCAATGTCCCCAGAAGGGGAGCAGAGGCCCCAACATCACCATCCTCCCTACCAGGCACAGCTCCCTCACATACCCCGAAGCACTGCAGCAGCTGCTCACAGGTCCTGAGCCCGATCTCTCCGGTGGTCCAGCTGTGGGCCCTGGCTACAGGAACAAACAAACCCAAGCTCCCGTGGCTGGCCGTCATTGTGAGTGCTAGGGATTACTGCATCCCCCATGTTATAGACGCTGGGGCACAAAGGACTGCTGGTACCAACAGCCAGGATTTGAACCCAGGCGAGGGAGTTCTGAGTGCTAGTAGCAGCCACTCTCCCTGCCTGTCCCTCAGGGGAGGGGGGCTTAAGAGTCGCTGGGCCTTGGCACCGGGCCTGCCGCAAGGCCCACGTGTGAGGAAATGCCATCAGGCAGCCTAGGCTTCCTGTGGCCTGACTCCCAGCAGCATCATGGATTCCCACACATCGGGGGCCCTGTGAGGACCACTCTGGTCCCAACTCACCAGGCTCCAGGGCAATGCTTAATAAGGTCTGGAGCTGAGGGGCACTGAGCTCTTCCTCCTGATCAAAGAGAGCGGTGATGAGGCCATTCACTCAGGCAGCCATTCAACAAGGGGCTCTGGGCCCAGCCGAGCAACATGCTGGGCGGTGCTGGGGACAGGCAAAGGCAGCCCAGGTCTGCCCTCTCCAGAGCTCACAGCCCAGGAGGGTGGTCAGGGCTGCAATGGGGAAGCCCTGGGCTGTAGAAACCCATAGCGGGCATGTGGCTGACCAGCCTGGGAGGGTCAGGAGACCTTTCAGCGAAGGGCGGGGGCGTGAAGGATGAGAACTCCCAGACTGAGCAAAGGCCCTGAGGCAAGGAGGAGCTGTGAGCATTTTGAGAGATTTAAGAGGGGGAAATCGAAAGGAAAATTAGACAGGGAAGAGGAGCAGTTCCAGGGGAGGGCGGGACCCCCGCAGCCCACTCCTCACCTCTCCTGCCAGCTCCTGAAACAGCA